TCAAGTTATTTGTTGAGCAAGAACTTTTGTGAAACAAAATTTGAGCGTCGAAGATTGCGCTGATTTCAGCTATACTGAACCCGATACAACTTGGCAACCACGCATTTCCTCACCACTAGAATCGGATTTTTGTTTACTCGTTACCATGACGATCGTTGCCATGGCAATAGTTTTTCCATAACTGATTTCAGCCAAACTAAACCCGATACAACTTGGCAACCACGCATTTCCTCACTATGGGAATCGGGTTTTTGTTTACTCCTTACCATGACGATCGTTGCCATGGCAACACGTTTTTCATAACTGATTTCAGCTATACTAAACCCGATACAACTTGGCAACCATGCATTTCCTCACCACGGGGTTTTGTTTTCTGTTTACCTGTTACCATGACAACGGTTGCCATAGCAACAAATTTTCCATAACTGATTTCAGCTAAACGAAACTTGAACCCATATAATACTCCCTGTAGTATCTTTCCAAACATCTCCTATGAATGCTTGTAGTTGAATTTCTTCAATCCCTGTCGCCTCAAAAGTTGAACCATCGCCAATCTTGACTAATCGTGAGTGATGAAGATACTCTAGCTCTGTGAACTGATCCTTAATACGGCACATATATGCTCACTTGCTCCCGAATTTGCATACCATGCCATTTTGTCCATATCTCCGCTGTATAGAGCTTCAGTGATAAATGCATTGTTGCTTGATGATGATTCGCTCTTCCTCTTGATGACATTCTTCTTTTCTTGTGGATTTGGAGTCTCTCTCTGTTGTTTGAACCAACATTTATCTATAATATGCCCTACCTTCTTGCAATAAAGTCAAAATGGCCTTTTTCCATTATGTTTTTGTCTGACTTGTTGCTCTTGTCGGAAGTGCAGTCGACATTGACTGATCATCAGTTGAAGCCCTGCTTTTCAGTCTTTCCTCTCCAATTAAGAGTCTTGCAGTCAGATTATTCATCTTCTTGTCATTTATTGAAGTTCCTTCTCATGCAGTTACGAATATTCACAATATAATTCACTATGAAGTGACATCATAATTTTCGTGATGATCATATTTTCTGACAGTTTTTCACCCAATTTTGACATTTGGTCTACCATTTCCTCAATGTTCATTAGAAATGTTGCTATTCCATCGTTATTGTATTGGTAATTGAAGAACTTCTGTTGCACAAGATGTAGACTAACCTCTGAACGGAATTCATAAATGGCAAGTAGCTTCTCCCACATTGCATTCGAAGTTTGTGCAAGCAAAATATTGGACATTGGTGTTTCTTCAAGTCTTGTAACGATGATCTCCTGAGCTCTGTTATCTCTATCTCTCCACTCTTTACTAAGTTTTTCGTAGTTATTCTGCTCCTCAGCTGATACATTTGATCCGGGAATACTTGGAAGGACTTCCTTGCCAGTCACAATGTCTAGCAAGTGCTCGGATTTTAAGAAGATGCTTACTTGGAACTTCCATAGATTCCAATTTTCTTGTCCCTTCAATTTGAGATCTTTACCGGATCAACCAAGGATAATGATTCATGCATGTGGAAATATTAATACAACCTCTCACTGTTCAAATCCCGCTGGGCCCATAACCTGTTAAAAAAAAACAGTAGGGTTCGTGTAGAAAGGCTGGAGCTCAGTTGGAGATGAACTTGTACTTTTTACTTCCATTCAAAGATCAGAAAATTCGTACAATCATACAATTAACTAAAAAATATCATCCTCAATCAACAACATTACTATGCCAACGCACTATTTCTGATTTCATAATCAGAGTCACTTGATACAAATTATATTGTTTCTGAATTGTTAACAGGGTGGATCATATTCTCAACAATAATCTCTACAGGATGTTGTTTGAACATGGGGCTACAAGAATTACGAATTTTTAACTGTAACATTTTGTAGTTTTTCACGTTCTGATTTTTCCACATAACTATGTCTTATTTTTGCAAATCTTTTGCGGCATCACCAAGGCTGTTCAGAAATATTGCAAAAGAGAATAATAAACACAATGATGATGAATACAATATATGCCTGCAGTTCTTTGTTTTCATAATTTCCATCCAAAGTTATGCATTAACTTCCATGATAGGTACCTCGGATATTGCTTTGATCATATCGATTTCATTCGTCTTTTTCACAAAAACTTATTTGATTTGGAAAAGTCAATAAATCAACTCAATTGATAATATCACTGGTGTGATCATCAAAATGATGTGTTTTTCAAATTATCCTAAGGCTTTACACAATATTGTGTATCAATTATAACATAATGTCTCAGTAAGCAGAACAACATGCGTACTGAATGAAAATTATAGCAATGCTCGATGATTGTTCAGTTTGATACGACATAATGATGAATATATTATACAGGGTGTTTCGTAATATGTGAGACGCTCTTCGAACAAAAGTCACAGAAGGCTTCGTTTGTGAGATACAGGTTGATGAAAATGAGAATAAAAAATAATTTTTATTGAATATCTAGATAACCGCTAAACAAAAATTCTTGATATTTTGGTGCATAACTCAGTACCTGAGAGTGATAGATTGTGTAGAATTAAAAAAAAACATGGGTGACGATGAAATATTTTGAAATTTTATTCAAAAATATGGAAGAGGATGCAATTTTGTAGAAAAAGACAAGTGTTGAAACTCGTATAAAGATACACTGTTTTCGAGAAAAACCGAATGACCAAATTTAACTCCAAAATTTCATGTAGATGTCCGAGGGTGTCAGATAGTCCATTCAAAGACATCACTATATCCATGATAGATATCATTCTGTAATTGTGGTACTATGCCAGTCACATAACAGACTAAATTTTGTCACCACGATCAGTCATACAGGGTGGACATAAAACAATGGAATAAATATCTTCAAGTTTATTACTCAAGTCTGGCCTTCTACGACTTTTGTTTATGGAAACTTGTTCATTTTCTTGAGACGCCCTATTACCTCTCTAAGTGCGTCCCACATATTATGAAACACCCTGTATTTGGAATAAACTATTTTATGTTTATTCAATCAGATTATATTTTGAAAACTTTCTCAAATTATTCCTTGTTTGTAACAATAATGAAACAGCTTTAACACACTTGATATTTTTTATGCTTCAGTGGAACATTTCAGACTTTATTCAGTTGCCAACTTGCCACTCATTAGTAGATAATATGATATTACCAACCTTGAAACAAAATTAATACTTTTATATCTAGTACAACACATAAAAAAAATATTCGAGAAAAAGGATTTTATCTCTAGAAATACATACCATTGATAGGTATGGGAAATATGACAGCAGATGGAAGAGAATGTAAATGGGAATGAATTTTTATATACTGAAATATAAAGGATGTTTCATTTGAAATAACAAAGATATGACCATTCGGGAAAGTCAATATTGGCAGTTTATTATCAATTACCCTACCCTGTAAGATAACTCTCGATATTGACTTCATTGAAACGATAGTCGCAGTATCATCGAAGTTACTGCATATTTCTGGATCAAATTTTTGGAAAAGAATGATCAGCAGGCATATTATTGGAAACAACATGTGTGTAATTCTGATCAACTTGGCCACGCTGCGAAAGAATTCTAAAAATAAGACAAGGTTGTGTAGACAAGATAACGACAAATCAAAATATGTGAAACAATACAGGGTGTTCCATTTGAGAAAATGTAGCTTCGCGTTCGAAAACCATCTTGTAGAAATTAAAATAATTCTGAATAGTAGGCCTCACGATGTTGTACTCTATATACTCAAGAAGATGTTGTCGAACTCTTATTGCGATGGATAATGGAATTATAGAGCTTTTCCACATTACGAGGACACTCGAATCAGAGTGCTTTCGTAAATTACTGAATAAATTCATGTTTAGCCAAACCTGAGAAATCTCCTGCAACAAGTCGATTCCTAATCTCATTTTGTCACATTTATAAGGAAAAATTGGATATATATATACAGGGTTATTCGTTCGAGAGAAGTCGGCAACAATTTCTTTTAAATTGAACCCCCTATATATTATTTCGTTTTTTGAATATCTATGAAGAGTTGAATTCAAAAATATATCACACATAGTATTCGTATATAGTGCGTCCATCAAATTCAGTGCTCTCGTGAAGTAAAGAATAAAAAGATAATTTTCTAAAATACTGTATGTAGGTTAATTGAAGAGGTGGTACATTCATTATTCCACATTATTTGGGATTCTCTCTCCTCGTTTCTTTATAATGAAAATATGAATATTATTTCAACATACGTGTAGTAAGAACAAATCAGATGATTTGCCCCGAAATGTCACTGCGTTTTAAGAATTTTCCTATCAGAGAGCCTAAATGAAAAATTCACTAGCTGGTCAGTGACAATTTGTATTGAAAAAAGTTTGGAGAAGAAGATTAAAGGTATATAGAAAAAATATAAAATTTTCACTTAGCTTTGGACGTTTCGGGAACGAATCTGAGAACTGAAAAGTATCAAGACAAATACGAATTTGCTATTCAAATATCTATTTCTTATGTTGAAAACGGGAGCAGATTCGTTCCCGAAACATCCAAAGCTGAGTGAAAATTTGATATTTTTTCTATATACCTGCATTATTTCTCTTCTCAAAAACTCTTTCAATGCAAATTGTCACTGACAAGCTGGTGAATTTTTCTTTTAGGCTCTCTGGTAGAGAAATTCTTTAAACGCTGTGACATTTTGGGGCAAATCATCTGATTTGTCCTTACTACACGTATATTGAAATGATATTTATATTATCATTTTATAGAAACAAGGAGAGAAAATCCCAAAAAATCTGGAATAATGAAGAGAATTTCCTATTGAAAAAATGTCGGGGAAGTCATAACTCGAACGTGGATCACCCTGTATATTCGATGTGGGAAATTGAGACTAAAAATCGACCTGTTTCAGGAGATTCCTCAGATATCGATGAAATTATATTGATTAATATTGCTCTTGAGAAATAATTGATGGCTATGGTTTCGACCTGTTTCAGAATGGAGTGTGGAGAGAAATAAAAGTAATTTATGACATCTCGAAAGGGACAGGTGGGGAATTATCCATGTTTCCTATCAGGATACAGAATTCACCTGATACTGATAGAGGAATGTGGGCTTTAGATGATGTCAGATTGTGTAAAAAAGATGGTGAGTAAATATACACTCATATCAGATGACCATGCAGTTAATCCAAAAAAAAATAATCATTTTCACATTTGATGCTTGTGGAAAAAAATCAAGGTATAATTTATTCCAATCCATATTCAAGGTTTTATAGTGGATTACACCAAATTACAGATAAATCAGTGTGATATTTGTTCACTTACCATTAGTAGGAGAGCCGGTTGCAGATTTCTACCGTCATCTGAACGGCACTTGTGCCATCACTATCCTGAGCAAAATGATACAAAAATAGCACTTTCCTGTGCGATTTGATAACGAGATGAGGATTATGCCATCATCGGATACCAATTTAATGACAGATCTCATGAACCTGCGTGTGCCACCCCTCAGCCTGAGCCAAATCCACGGCACAGAGATTCATTTGCTCCTATTTTTCCGGACAAACTTCTGCCATGTGATAACGAGTTGAAACAAGAAGCAAATGAAAGGGAAAAATGTCCCTTTTGCGAATATCCAAACGTGCCGCGATTCGAACTGATCTAAGTTAGTGGCAGAGCGTCAGTGTTTCCGAGAATATTTCGCCCTCGTCGAAAGATAATATCCGATGGACCAGCGTGAAACTCATGTGGTTCTCATACTACCTACAAGTATTCTAAACCACTTGTTGAGTTTAACACTGGTCTAATGGATATTATCTTCAGAGGGAGGCGATATATTCTGGGAAGTATTGACGCTCTACCACTAACTTAGATCAGTTAGAACGCCACATCATCTCCTTTTATTTGCTTCTTGTTCCAACTCGTTATCACATGACGGAAATATGTCCGGAATAATAACATCCAATAAATCGCTGTGGCGTGGATTTGGCTCAGACTGAGGGGTGGTACAGTTGCGTTTTTCGAAATCTACCATTTAATTGGTATCGGATGGCATAATTCCTATCTCGTTATCAAACCGCGGAATCGAGTGAAAATTTTCGCACAGGAAAGTGCAATTTCTCAATCATTTTGCTCAGGGTGGTGAATGACACAGGTGCCGTTCGAAAAACCACAATGATTTTAAATGCCTTTCCAGCTAGCATTCACACGTCAATTTCACGTCATTTACGCGTCACCAATTACGTCAAGAAGACCAAATCATCGACGTGAAAGAGACGTAAATGTGATGTCAATATGTCACATCGAAAAGACATCATTTAGCGACTTCGTTACAACGTCATTTAGCGACGTCGTCTACACGTCGAATAGTTTTACCAAGCATCAGGTCCAGGTTTCGACCTCACCAAGAAACTGTGAAACTCGAAATCACTTTTCCATAATCCCATTCCTTGATGGTTGGCAAAACAGTTCAAATGATCTAGTTACAATAGTTGTGGAAATTTTTTATTTGTTTACATAAGTATACATAGGTATTCTTCATCTGAATAAAACTAATAAGCATAATATCCACTATATTCCATAGTATAGACATAAACGAAGATGTCAAGTTTCAAAGGAATCTCAACCTAATGACCTCAATTTATTCTTGTACCTACGATTTGAGGTATTTATAGATTTCCTTCTTCAAATAACGACCTCACTACATCGAACAACTTCCAAGTTTCATTTGTAGATTTCGCTTTCTTGATCATTGACCTGTTGAAAAAGTCTTGCTGTTTGAAAGGCGGCCACTACACTTCGCAGCCTTACGAGGCATCATGGCGTCAACCACTTCTACTGAACGAGAGCAATGCCTTTCCTCGGAATATTGTATTCCCACAAAAATTTCTACTGCCTGGAATTGATAAAATAACCAGCGAACTGCAATATATTTTGCTGAACCCCACTTTTCCATAGTATTCTTGTTTTCCATGACCCAAAATCAGGAATCCGCCATTACAACATTCGATGAACTTGATCACGCATGCGCTTGATAGGGGTAGTGGTAGTTGTATACATATAATAAATTCTTGAATCTTTCGTATCTGTTTCCAAGTTATCTCTATCAGGGTTTTTTTTATTAATATTTGTTCTACATATTTAACCACTTAGTTTTATCCATGTCGGGTATACGTCAATCTTTCACTAAGGTAGGTAAGTACCTATTTTATTTTGATAAGCGTTTAATAGAGATGTATAGAAATTTAACTGGAGGGCTCACTCTTCAATTGTCTCGTCAGAATAACTCTCGATATGGAACAATTGCATGCGAGTTTTGGACGTGGGGTTCAGGTATTTGCGATAGAGGCGCCATAATCGGAAAATCGTTCAAAACCTTGGTTCTGTGAGGGATGAATCTATTTCCATCATTGTTCTGAGGTCGAATAAATACTGTGCTCAACATTTTCATTCAAATTTCAATTTGAAATTGAAGCAAGAAATCTTTTTTGTAGCCAATTTTAATAAGCTTCACTTCTTTCATGACATGAACCTATTTGAAGCATAAAATCTGATGAATTTCCTCTTTGAAGAACCAGAACAGAGAATGTATCAACTATTGAAATAGACCAATATCCAAAATCAATAGGCAGATATGGTGACTGCGATGGTACTCACCTTAGAATTTATTCACACCAGTTCACGCTAATATTTCAAATCACTGAAATAATACTGTTGTAGAACAGGGATTTTCTTTTTTCTATGATGGATTAGGTATTATACACAAAATTTAGAAACTACGGAACACGTCCCTAACGAACACTTGACCCCAATCTCAGAAATAACCATTTTTTCAGCTCAAGAATATTTTTGACATATTGACGTTTCGATCCTTTGATCAGGAATAAGTTCACTGCTCTGATCCAAATTATATACGTATCCAAATATTTATCGGTCGGTAATATGTTTCCTGTAAATATGGATTGTAACCAGGATAAGCTTAGCGAGATTTACCCATGTCAAGTATGTTTATCAAAGGTTTATCAGAGTAGGCGCCATCGAGAAACTTGCAAACGACCTACAATAGGGAGCCAGCGCACCAGTTAAATTTCTTTAATAATGAGTCCTGGATATGCAATTCATGGAGTAATTTATTTGAAATAAAACAACATGATTGGTGCAGATGTTACGTCTAAATGACGTCAAATGACGTCTATCAGATACGTTTTTGGAACACGTCAAAATGACCTCAATTATTGGTCGAATCTTGACGACGACCAATTGCCACCTATTTTCCACGTCGATTCGACGAGAGTTGACGTCACCCTGCTGGCTGGGTTTGGAACATATATCATTCTAAAAGGAGGAAGGAAGGCTCAAAGTCATCTCCACAACTTCAATATTGATGTAGTTATTCAAGGGGACATGTTTCGAACTCATAAAAGTCCATCTTCAGCCGTATTTTAGAAATCAATGGAGGTGAACATTTTTTGTTTTAACAAAGTTGCCGATGTCTCTCATCACAATATCATGTATAATAATAATAAATAGGTTTCGAGGAATAAACGGGTTTTTATTTAAAATGAAGGGCTCCGTGTCCTAAGAACGCGCACTTATAAAATCAAAAGTCAAGTCCCAGAAGGGAAACTTGACGAGAAACTTGACTTCTGGGACTTGCCTTCTGATTTTATAAGTGCGCGTTCTTAGGGCACGGGGCCCTTCATTTCAAATGATAACTCGTTTATTCCTCAAAACCTATTTATTATTATCATACATGATATTATGATGAGAGACATCGGCAACTTTGTTGAAACAAATAATGTTCACCTCCATTAATTCCTAAAATACGGCTGAAGATGGAGTTTTATAAGTTCGAAACATGTCCCGTTGAATAACTAGATCAATATTAAAGTTGTGGAGATGACTTTGAGCTTTCCTTCCTCCTTTTAAAAATTCCACTCCACTTTGAGCAAACATGAACTTCTACCAAAGATTATATATCATTCTGTTATCACATGACGGTTGAAATTTGCAGCAGGCTCTTGGACTATACACTCGTCTTCGGAGAACATGGTGGACATGGACGGTATCAGCTCCCTAAATCACCGCTGCAATAAGAGCGCTCACAGTGTCTAATCGCGACATTATTATTGTTATCTGAAGGCGAGTGTACTTCTCGATATTCAATGAATATTGAGCTGAACAGGAAAATGGTATACCTATATTATATGTTGGATGACCCAACTGAATTTCTATTTCCTTTATGGTTTTTAATAAAACTATATACATTTCCCATGTTTTTGTATTTATATTCAAGGAATACAATTTGGTATGAAAACCTGTCACATATATGTCAGTTCTATCTATTTATTAAACAAAATTCTAAAACAAGAGGTATATGTTACTATACCTAATGGCACCTTTCTAGAAACCGTGGACTGTATATACCATATGATAAAATTAATATGCCAATGAAGTGATGTTGAAACTGATTGTCCGAACATGCCGCCTCCCTTGAAAGCTCAAGCTTTCAACATTTACATAAACAAACTTCCTTACAATAATATCTGAGCAATGATGCATGACACGATATGCAATTATCGCTAACAAATTAATTCCAAACAATAATTGAGAAATAATCAGCTGTTTCTACTTTCAATTGTCATTTTCGATTGGGAGTATGCACAAACGAGATGAAGCACGTTTGAACAGACCTTCAGCAGTACGCACTGTGACAACTCGCACTACACTAACTTCGCCTGGATGAACCTCGATGACTCGTCCTAGATCCCACTTGAGAGGAGGTAAATTGTCGTCTTTGATCACGACCATGGTCCCTTGTTTGATAGTGGCACCCTCCTGGTTCGAATGCCATTTGCCCCTGATTTGGAGACCAGACAAATAATCCTTGGACCACTTGTCCCAGAAATGTTGTATGATTTGAGTTAAGTGATTGTATCTCTTGATTCTATTTGGATTTTCTGAACGCCAGTCCTCTTGAGGAAGAGACGTTAATGCACTTCCGATCAGAAAGTGTCCTGGAGTGAGTACGTTCAAGTCTTCAGGATCTTCTGATAATGGTGTGAGAGGACGAGAGTTCAAGCATGACTCTACCTGAGTGATGACAGTGTGAAACTCATCATAAGTAAACTATTCATTTCCCAAAAC